CGGGTTAGGCGTCTGCTAGCACTAATCACGTGGTGATGACGTCACCGCACGGATAACGTGACGGAACGTCACGAAACGCATCACGTTATGAAGCCACGTCACAACACGCACCACGTGACGACTACGTCACAGCTGCATCGCGAGACGGCTACACCGTATCTGTCGACGTCATCACGCATGCAGCAGACGATATCTCATCATCTTTGCATCTCTTCCCACCACTTTCATGGACATTTCCTTCAGTAAGCAGACACCTGCTCTGCGCATCCCTGCCGTACCCTGGCGGACAGCGCGGGAACTAGCGAGCGTCTGCGTGGCGCGGTGCAGGACGGGAACGATCGCGCATACGACCGTATCCTGGCGGACAGCGCGGGAACTAGCGAGCGTGCGGCGTCGGCGGCGTGCAAGGACGGGAACGAATCGCGGCGCATACGACCGTATCCTGGCGGACAGCGCGGAAACATAGCGAGCGTTCTGCGTGGCGGGTGGCAAGGACGGGCAGCGATCGCGCATACGACCCGCGCGTACTGCTCGCTATGTAATACGCGAGGTAGCATTCCCCCCCCCCCCCTCGCACGCAGACACGGGACTCGGCTGAGATAATTTGCATATAGATTGGCGAAGACAGACGCCCGCGCGAACGTAGGGAACAGACGCGTACTCTCCCGTGACGAGTACGGGTTAATTGGAACATAGAGCGGAGAGGAGGTTGGGGGGGGATATTTCATTATCACGATCATCGTCATCGTTGTCGAGTTCTTTGACGAATGGCATATCTAAAGACTACGCTTCCATCGGCCAGCTTCCGCCTATTCCACCATTGGCGCCACACGTCTCGCTGCTAGCTGCTGCTGCTGTTCTGTTGCTGTTGCTGTTGGCTCGGCTGCTGCTGTTGTTTGTTGTTGTTATTTGTTTGTTGTTAGTTGTTGTTCGTGTTGCGGTTGTTGCTGTGTGTTGCTGCCGGTTTTTGTTTTTGTTTTTTTGCTGGGCTGCTGCTGACTGCTGCTGCTAATTGCTATTGGCTGTTGGCATGCTACTGCTGACTGCTACCTGCTACTGCTACTGCTGCTGCCTACTACTACGTTACTACTACTACTACTACTACTACTACTACGCAATACTACTACTACTAGCTACTACTAATAGTACTACTACTACTACTACTACTACTACTACTACTACTACTACTACTACTACTACTACTACTACTACTACTACCAGGAGTAAGATAATATAGATCCTATATTATCTTACTCCTGCTACTACTACTACTACTATAAATATTATTTTGTATTGTTATTATTATTGCTATTGCTGCTGCTTCTGCTGCAAACACTGTGCGGCTGCTGAAACGCTTGCATTAAATACGACAATTTCTCACTCGCATAATCAGTGCAGAATAATGGATATGTTGCAATGGATATCAATAAAATACAATAAAGCTTCAACGCATTCCGATATGCTAACGTAGTCTTTGTTGTATTGATGCATGTAGCAACTCCCATCTCAGAGAGATATTTCTGTCCGACGGCTGTAACAACAAACTAAATCGAGATAAAAAAAAACATCCATAGCACGGCACTCTAGGCAAAGATGAGCTATTAGCGCCACCTTTCGGAAACATATATTGACAAAGTGCTTGCTAACAGGGCACTGACATTGCGGGCAGCAAATATATCGTTGATATAAATGTGATGATGGCTAGATTGATTAGAAACAAAAGGCAGCAAATATCTTGTTGATATAAATGTGATAATGGCTAGATTGATTAGAAACAATAGGTAGCAAATATATTGTTGATATAAATGTGATGATGGTTAGATTAATATCATATTTTTTGCTCATCTGTACAGAGTGATTGCCGCGAGGACTTCAGCATTAGAATTTTCCAACGATAAAAAGTATATAAACATTAAACCTTTAATAGTAAATATAATTTGCATTTGCTTACTATCATTTTCTCGCTCTTATTTGGATCGGCACATGTAGCTACGGGCAAGACACTTGAAGAGTTATGGTATCATTGACGGTATGCTGTAATTCGTAACTTTTAAAGACCACAGGCGGCGCTGTGTGCATGTGAATGTGATTTCTACTCGTAGTTCTAGATTCCCCCACTACACGTGGCGCGCGTGCTGTTAATTGACAAACTTACGGCTGGTAGCGGTAGAAAGTAGAAATCACTTTTACAGTTATACGATACATTAGGAATTACAATATTAAATTAGAAAAATGAAACCGAATAGAATTTCTCGCGTCCATTGGGATTCGAACCCAACACACTTTAGGGGCAACAAACCCCTATAACGTCCACGACGCTATTTATAATGCTATTGCGCACATGGTAAAAAAAAAACTATCACTTAGCCTAATGGATAGCGTCGTGAACGTCATAATATGTGGGTTGGCAGAGCGATGTCAGGTTCAAATATTTGTGGATGATATATTATGTAATGTTTTATTTTTTCATTTAAAATATTTTAATTCCCAATGTGATTTCGAGCTATCCAAGTAATAAAGTATATAAGGATGAATAGTAACATAAGTAATTATTAAGAGATAATTAGTAGATATTAAATTTAAAAAAATACAAGTTAAAATAAATTTCCCCTAACGGGATTCGAACCCGTGGCCGGTGTCTTCCATCACCAATCCCTCTGTAATCCTATAATCCACGATGATATCCATTAGGCTATCGAACACAGTGGAAATGCATATATATATATATCAAGGGCTATATGGAAGAGGCTCGGGGGATAAGGGGGATTGTGATTCCTAATATCCCTAACGTCATCTATGTTAAACAGAGTAGATAGAATACAAATGTGAAACACCGAATTGACATTAAAAACTAATACGTAAAAATGTGAAAACGAGCCCTCTAAATGCTCACAATACACAGAAGCACTATAGTTAGTTTATTTATAAGTTTATTTCTATTTATTAGAATATTTTCTGCATTTTTTTCTAACGTTATTAAAATTTGCCACACGCGCAAATGAAAACGGATGTTGAAACCTGAGCACCGGGGTTCACAGGCACTTGGGACAGAGTCAGTAAAAACTGAAAATAGTATGAACGAACATTCACAAATAGGCCCTACTACCGTACCTCTCAATTACAGTTCCACTGTTGTGTCACTGTATATCAACTTTCCTTCATAAAACCTAACGCCGAACGCTCCCGCACTCGCCGCTGCGAGTGTGCTGTGTCGCCATGATAATATATATATATAAAGTTATAAAGTTATTACATAATAATATTTATATTATCATGGCGACACAGCACACTCGCAGCGGCAAGTGCGGGAGCGTTCGGCGTTTTTATAAAGGAAAGTTGATATACAGTGACACAACAGTGGAACTGTAATTGAGAGGTACGGTAGTAGGGCCTATTTGTGAATGTGCGTTCATTTTATTTTCACTTTTATCTGACTCTGTCCCAAGTGCCTGTGCCGAAGTTAGTGCTCATAAAACTAAAACTGATAAAAACTACGAGTAGAAATTACATTCACCATATTGCAGGCTCGCATCAAGGAGCTGTCTTAGCTACGCCTTTACACTCTTACAGCTCTCTGGCTAGTACTAGCTGGAAGAGAAATCTAAGTTCAGATAGTCTTTCACGTATTTCTACAATTCTGAAATTATTCAATCATACAATTCTTATAGTTAACTGACTTTACGCAACACCGAATAAGCAGAGCGAACAAACAGAATAAGCCATGCAAGCAATCATCCGATTCCCACTGACTTGTTTAGTTTACGACACAGTTGATAGTCGGGTAAGCAGTGACCCTCTGCTATATAATTCTACTCCGAGATCTATAGATATACACATAACACCACATGCAGCACTATTATCTGTGAGTGTATTGAAACAAGATTGTATGTAGAAATGGTCCATTCTTGCGATGAACCCGGCTAGAGACGAATTAATTAATTTTGTAAAGCATAAAAACGGATGATGGAAGACGGTTATTTTATTGGAATGAAAGATTGATTATGGCGAATTATAATCCCTCAATTTATAACAATAAAATGTCAATGCTTCGTTACAAAGATTTGTAATCTAATAAATGTCGTCGTTATTCACATCAAACGCACGCATGCACGCACGCACGTTTGCACAGATGCAGGCACGAACGCACGCACGCACGCACGCACGCACGCACGCACGCACGTACGCACGATTGCACCGATGCAGGCACGAACGCACGCACGCACGCACTCACGCAAGCACGATTGCACCGATGCAGGCACGAACGCACGCACGCACGCACGCACGTACGCACGCGCTCACGCACATAGTTAGTAATCAATGTACTTCTACAGCTGGCCATCTTTAAGGAAAACGCTGCGATGAAGCGATGTAGGCGTTTCTGCTGACGCCATGCTGACACGCACTCTCTTCTACGCCCTCTCGCAATGTTTTCCTCCTCTGCATCCATTCCTCCTGTATTTGCACTACTACAAAATTCTATACCATCCGATCCATGTGGGCTTCTCTTTTACCGTGTTTCGTGCCCTACCCTCTCCCTCTCTCTCTCTCTCTCTCTCTCTCTCTCTCTCTCTCTCTCTCTCTCTCTTTATCTATATATATCCATCTATGTTGGTTCTCTCTCTCCCGCTCTCTCTCTCTCTCTCTCTCTCTCTCTCTCTCTCTCTCTCTCTCGCTCTCTCTCTTTCTTCATCTTTATATATCCATCCATGTTGGTTCTGTCTCTCCCGCTCTCTTTCGCTCTATCTTTTGCTTTCTCGCGCGCTCGCTCTCTCTCTCCCGCTCTCTCCTTTTCGATCATCGCTCCCTTTCAGTTTCGTTCTTTCTCTTTCTCACAGCGTAATTGCATCGGCTTGACAAACACCCGCTCCTTCCGCTTCTCTTCCTCCGCAACGCGAGGAAGCGTCCGCCTCAACACTCGCCAATTCGTCGTCGCTGATGACGTCATCGGGCGGTCCGAGCAGACGACTTCATATAGCGTCGTCTAGTAGGACGCCTGACACGCACTGCAACGTTTGGAGAAGCGGAGAGTAGGCAGGCGCGCGCACACGCACACCCACGCACGATCCCCGTGTCACGTATACAGACAGCTACAGAGCAACGGTCGCACGACGCTTCTATCGTTTGCAAATTACGAACAACTCACGTAAGTTTTGTTTCGCACTGCTCTTGTCTTCAGTGAGATAGAATTTCTAGTCAGTCTATCGTAACTTTCATAGAATGCACATTTTCGTGTAGTGTACCTTTCGTTCGGTTTTCATTAAATGCGATTTTAATCCCTATTATTTATTTATTCTATTTTTCCATTATATTACTTATTTATTGACATATTGCACGTTGTACTTTTTATGAGATTACATTTGTAGTATTATTTCTATTTAAATTCTATTGTTTATTTTTACTGTTATCAATAAATAATTTTTTATGCATCAATTTTTCATACAATGTGACTTTGCTTAACGTTTAACGTTTAATCTTTCTTTCACTTGAAAGTTCTAGATTTCTGATTAATCTTTCTGATAAATTGGAAGCACGCTTCTTATCTAACCGACGTGGATATTGTTCAAGCGTTGAATCACGGGACAAGCATCGTGATCTTGTTCTCTTACTCGTTATATACTAATGATGTAAACCTCACGTTCATATCGTACCATGATCGCGCCTGGCGTGGGGAAGTTTACTTATTCGTGCGTGCGTGCGTGCGTGCGTGCGTGCGGGCGTGTTGCGTTTGCGTGAATGCACGGTAGTCCGTGGTTTGCGCGCGCGCGTTGCGTGCGTGCGTGCGTGGCTGGTGTGTGTGTCGTGTGTGTGTGTGCTGTGTTGTGTGTGTGTGTCTGTGTGTGTGTGGTGTAAGTGTGTGTGTGCTGTTGTGTGTGTGTGTGGTGTGAATAGGCGGACGCGTGCATGTAGGCGTGCGTGTACATGTGCGCGTGCGTGTGTGTGTGTGTGTATGTGAAATGCCCGATAATTGTTAACTACTCAACGATTACTCACATTCTGTTTTAATAACGACATTACTCTGTGAAAACTCGATTTTTACGACGACGAACAATATTACCATATATCTACTTCTAATTTGTCGGTTTGCATCACGTCATCCTGAATTATAGATTATTTTGGAGCAGTAATTTCCGCGTTGGGAACAGTGTGTGTAATTCGCCTGTGTCGCTATGAGTTAGCTGCGGTGTATGCACTTGTTCTCTTTACTTCGTTATATTCGCTTCTTGTCGACCGCCTCGCAAAATTAATTATTAAAGTAGTTTTCCAACTACGAAGATTGAATATTTTCTTTGAATGTTTTCTTGAAACACATCCACGCCCGCAAGTATGCACTCACGCACGCGCGCGCAACACACAGTAGCACGATGCACAGGCGGCCACTCAACACGGCGAGGGACACCCACACACGCACGGACCGCGCGCGCACACACACACACCACACACAGCACACACACACGACACACCACACACACACACAACCACACCACACACAACACACACACACATACACCACAGCACACAACACAACACGCCCACACACACCACACACACACACACAACACACACACAACACACAGACACACACACACACCAAGCACACACCGCCCACAACACCACGCCCACTACGCGGCAAACACTCACACACATTTATAGTTCGCCGAAGGTAAGGACGTATCATTCCCTGTGTCACATTCGATGTAGACCGGATAAACCTTAATAGCTTTCAAAAGAGTTGTTTTCACTTTTTTTTAAACATGACACGATGGCGAAACCGCACGAACCCGTGTCAGTTACACAATCTCATCCTTCAACCGCTAGTCGCGTTTAGACGTGCACCACGTCGTTTTATCCTCGTCATAAAGCAATAAGCAATATCTCACGTGGCCAGCCGTGTTACGTGTATATGATTTGATTTATCATGATCGGTGTTCTAACTCTGTTAGCCAGGCTGAAAACTGCAGCAACGATAATTCACGCTAACAAAACCAGCCGATTTAACACAGCTGGTGCTAACGTAGCAAGCTCGCTTATTTATTTAGAGTTTCTCTCTCGCTAGGAAAAGGGTTAAATAATGACGCATCATGCTCGAACACTTCAATAAGATCTCGAATTCAAAGATTGAAACAAAATTCTCGATTCAAATAAGTTCTCATATTTTTTATAGCAGATTTAACGTGACCGCGAAAGATTTAACATTAGATTGACACACAATCGTTGATATGGACTTGGACTGCAAGTGTAGAAAGACTTAGGAATCTAGCTGCCGAAATTACGGCATGACATTCCGCGCATTTAACGAAAGAACTACCTCAGGTAACCTCTACGCTCTAGTACTTCCCCAAGCTTCAGTTCATTTTCGAACAGCAGTTCACTTCCAAACATTAATTTCGCACATGTAAAATCTTCCAGAATTGTTGGCATCATTTATTTGCGTTGTTAGCAGGCACGCATCCTGAACACCGCCCGACTAATTTTATTATTCTGCGTGATGATGGATTTAGTGATGACCATCCATCTTTACGTGATGTCCAGCTATGGTCACTAATAGTCAGTGATGTCCTGGTTATGATCAGTAATAGTCAGTGATGTCCGGGTTATGGTCAGTAATAGTCAGTGATGTCCGGGTTACGGTCAGTAATAGTCAGTGATGTCCTGGTTATGATCAGTAATAGTCAGTGATGTCCGGTTATGATCAGTAATAGTCAGTGATGTCCGGATTACGGTCAGTAATAGTCAGTGATGTCCTGGTTATGGTCAGTAATAGTCAGTGATGTCCGGTTATGGTCAGTAATATTTAGTGATGTCCGGGTTATGATCAGTAATAGCCAGTGATGTCAGGGTTATGGTCAGTAATAGTCAGTGATGTCCGGGTTATGATCAGTAATAGCCAGTGATGTCCAGGTTATGATCAGTAATAGTCAGTGATGTCCGGGTTATGGTAAGTAATAGTCAGTGATGTCCTGGTTATGGTCAGTAATAGTCAGTGATGTCCGGGTTATGGTCAGTAATAGTCAGTGATTCCGGGTTATGGTGCAGTAAATAAATTTAAGTGATGTCCGGATTAACGGTCAGTAAATTAGTTCCAGTGATGGTCGGCGGGTTGAGGGTCAGTAATACGGCCAGTAATGTTCGTTATGATGAGTAAATTAGTCGTGATGCCAGTAATGGTGCAGTGAATTGGGCCGTAAGTAGGTCGTGCGGTGAGCGCGTGACGTCAGCGGTGGTCGAATGCAATAGCTGTCGTGTACGGCATCGTGGTCATTCAGCTGGTCAGTCAGCCTATCAGGGCTTGCAAGCCATGGCAGCTTCATTAGATTCTGGCAGCCGCAGCGCCGCTGGTGCGATGTCGCGCGTGTGTGCGGCATGCACAACACGTGTTGCCAGCGTGCTACAGAGAAGAATGAGGCTGGTGAGAGTGAGGATGAGGACGAGGGAGGGGAGAGGAGGGGAGCGGGGCGGGAGAGAATGAGATGATGAGGGGGAGCCCACCACCACGTGCATTGGGAGCTGTTGAGTTGGCATGGATAGGAGGAAGGAGGAAGAGGAGGAGCTAAGGAGAAGGCTAGAGAAGAAGAAGAGGAGGTGAGGAGCAGCAGGAGGCAGGAGAGGAGAGGTAGGCAGAGGAGAGAGAGGATGGAGAGAAAGAAGAGGAGAGGAGGAGGAGGAGGAGAAGACGGGGAGGAATGAGGAGAGGAGGAAGGAAGGAGGAGGAGGAGGGAGGGGATGTCATCCGTGTGTGTTAATATGACGGCAGGTCGGGGCGTGCGCTCGTTAGCACTGATTACCTGACCAGCGTGTCGTCGCCGTGTGCGCGGCGCAACGCCCTGCCTATCCCATCGTCTCTCCATCCTCTCTCTCTTTCTCGTCTCTCCCGGAGAGAGAGACGCTCAGAGAGGAGAGTGAGAGGACTTCTCTCTCTCCTGCCTCTCTCTCCCTCGTCTCTCTCTCTACTCTCTCACACTCTCTCCTCTCTCTTTCTCCTCCTCCTCTCTCTCTCTCTCTCTTCTCTCTCTCTCTCTCTCATTCTCTCATCGCCCCTCTCTCTCTCTCTCTCTCTCTCTCTCTCTCTCTCTCTCCGCATCTCATCTCTTCTCCCCTCGCGCTCGTCTCTCCCTCTCTCTGCCTCTCTCGGCGCGGCAGGCGCGTAGGCAAAGCGCGTAGCGTGCGGCTGCTCGCAC